TCTAATAACAAATAATGGAAACCGAAGAGTGGCCAAAAAAGAAAAAGAACGCAACAGGAAAGAAAATGATACGAAGGAGGGAAATAATAAAAAATGAGAGAAGATTAACCCATCAAAAAGGCGATGATAAATGGGAAGGAGCATCCATTGATTCTGCCAGGGGTGGTGCTTCTGTGAAGGATGAGTGATCGCTCGGACAAGCAGATGGAGAGGAAACGGAAATGCAGGCGGAGAGAAGGGGAGAGGGGCCCACAGGGTGATTGGCAGTGTTGGGATCTTAACGACAAAGCGCGCCAACGTGCAAAGTTGTCATAATTTCTGGGCTCTATGTTGTTTCATTTTACAACCACTCGCGGATTAATCCTCCATAGAATTCCCCCTTGAATATCCATATCCATGTTGGACTTCAGCATACTTCCTATTTGATTGAATTTTGATCCCTAATTTAGAAGTTTTGAGATTCTTTTCTTTATATTCATGGCCAGAATTTATAGTTAATCCCTTTGCTTGACGATGACCAAAGAAAGCAAAACTGCTTTCTTGATTTCCCCGGCAAAACTTCAAATAGTCACCAATTCTTATATTAAAAAATTTTAACAAATTATTAATCTCTTAACACTATTTTATCTTCAATGAAAATCATGGTCAATGAATATTCATAGCAGTGTGGGAATATATATACTGCCTCGGTACTTAATATACGAATTTATTTTATTTTTATTTTAGTTATAAATATAAAACCCTAATCTATTTTGTTTTTCATATTTATATATTTTTTTCTAAGGTAGTTCTTCTAATAATGATAATTCTAGCCAATACACTTAATTAGCAAGGATATTTTAGGAAAGACAACACCTATTTATTACAAATAACTAATTTAATTTTTTTCTTAATCTCCTCAAATTAGTCAACTAGCTCTTATAATTAGGATTAGAAGTAGTATATATATATAGTCTCGGTAAAAAAAAAACAAAAAGCAAAAACGACAAAAAAAAAGACGATGAATAAGGATCACGTATGGTTTGGTTTAAGTGTTTTCGACCAAGCGGGTAAAAAATTGAACAATAATTATGTACCAATCAGCAAAGATTACATGGGCCGAATTTATGGGCCTATTGGCCCATTTGGGTAAGTAAGGCCCACTGACTTCATGATTACTAAGCCCCACAAGAAGCCCGATGCTTAGGTGACACGTCAATTTCGGATGTATAGGGATAAGGGCATATAACTCCAGAGATGAACAAGTGTCATGGCATTAGTGAGGCCTCCATGGGATACATGATTCCCAAGTTATGGCCCGTTATTAAAAGGAATATTAAATTTAAAAATAGAAAAACGGGATGCTAAATGAAAGATACCCCTCACACACACACACACACACACAAAAGGCAGCGAGGAAAAAGAGCATAAACCAAATAATGTTCGTTGCCTGCTTTATGCTTTTTTGAGGAGATTCGAGGAAGCAATACATAGTGAGGACTGTATATGGTATTTTTGTGGTGGCATTAAGGAGGATGCCAATTATAATTTATGACCAGAAAAGAAAACGCAGAAGCTGCCAGCCTCATGTCCTATAAATTCACTTCCCCACAAATTGTGACTGCGACTGCTTTGAAAAGTGGTCCTGTTACTTTTGAACCCATTCACAATTATTTTCTAGAACTCTTTTAAAGTAAAATCCAAATAATAATTTTGTCTCCTCTATAATTTGTCTCTTGGATTTTGGAGTTCCCAGTCCTTCCCGGAGAAGGTATTCTTATTGGTCTATTGGACACCTGATTCCTCCCCCTTCAAGTCACTGTCTTGCCATTAAGCAGATAACTCAGCGGACCCTGAGGATATGTTTGGCGGTGCAAAAGAAAAGAAAATAATATCATAGAAAATTATATTGTTTTCCTCATCTACATGATATGATAATAATCTCGTGCCATTTAAAATTTTATTCCATTGATATACACTCTTGCATGTCGGTGGTTTTAATTAAGATTGTGGGACTTAAGTCAGTAGGTCCCTTATGATTAATTCTTAAATAAATGTGTTTTTAATCAAAAATTGTATGATTTAATTTTGAACAACAGAATCATATACACCTCTGTGAAAAAATTCTTAAAAGGCACATGCGGCTTCAATTTCGATTTATCATCATTGACTTGTAGGTTTGATTCAGTCAACATGGGGTTGACTCTCTTTGCTAATTATGAGCATTTTGTGATTTAATTTCTCTGCCTACTTTTTCCATTTTGGACGCCTTAATTTCGCACGTCTTTGTACATTGGAGTTGGCACTAGACGGTATAGTATTCCTTCCATCCTATTATAAGAGCTCTTTTGGAACCTCTTTAGTTGTATGATGTATCATACTTTTTTTATAAAGCATTAATTACAGCTGAGAAGCAAGTTTTTATTGATTGATATTAAGGGCAAAAATGAAAAGGTAGCCTGCTTTTACCTCATACTAAATGAATTTTTTTTTTTTTGCTGGCTTACTAATTAAAAAATAATTACTTTTGGTTGGTATTTAACGCAAGTTCCTCATATCCATTATATCAATTTTTTCAATCTTATATGGCCACCACGTGTCTTTTTTATTTTATGGGTAAAATGTTATTAAATATTAATATTTTAAAAATAGGACACAGTAAATAACTTGATATAATCGATATAATGGACTTGAAACGACGGAGAAGTATAAAAATATGAACTAACAGCCTGTAGGCACGGTATTATGTTTTTTATAGTTAATTCAATTGAGAAAAATGGAATGGCTCCTTCTCTTGAATTACTTTCACAGGAGAAAACTTACTGCCTTGGGGTAGTTCTGAGGTCATTAATCAAACGTCCTCAATAAGTATGCACGGAAAAAGCAAAAGCATTGATACCTGACCCACACAGGTTGGGGTTTATATAATAGTGGAACACTATTAAACTGCTGAGAATATTTTCTGCAATAAAACCAGTATTTCAGATAAGCCCGAATATTGGACATAATTGAACGAGGCAAGACCTCCAATATTGTCCAGTCATTTTAATATAGAAAATGTATCAAACTGACAGACAGAACATCAATAGCTAACCCCCTCTTAGCTAACATCAATAGCTAATTGAACGAGGCAAGACCTCCAATATTGTCCAGTCATTTTAATATAGAAAATGTATCAAACTGACAGACAGAACATCAATAGCTAACCCCCTCTTATGCTGATCCATCTGCCCATCCACACACTTACAAATATAAATAGTCGCCGCGCAAACCTTACCATATTCCCATCACGCCACCACTCATATGTGTTGGAATCTTTTTTTGGTGGATTTTTCCATCATCACTGATCTTGTACAGTTCAATTATATGGGCCCTTGTACGGTTTGATATTCTGGCAGGAAGATTTTGATCTCTTGAACATTCACGAACTCCAAACCAGAAAAAGAAAATACTAGTGTTGATGTAATAATTTTACATTTATATTGTTTACCAAAACTTTGTAAAGGAGTTGCAAATCACATATCAAATGTTGATTTTGATTAGAATGGTTAGTCTTTCGCAATTTGTCAGTACTCATATAAAACCTGCTTTGTATAACTACCTTAGTTTAAGGAATTACCAGTAATCATATTGATAAAGCTGCGCCATAAAATTCACCTAACGCAGTGCATGCAAACGATGGCATATTCATATTAGTTTAGAAATTTATATGGTAGTCAAAACTTGGAAGTACAATGCTGGACGAGTGTTGTTGGCCACGATTGTCCTTTAAGAAGAATGCTTTGGCTTTACTTGGAACCTTGCAAGTACATATGTCGTAGAAAGAAGATTGGACAAACTAAAACTGGTGTTTCCCTCTTGCTGATGAATCATAAAACAGCTACTTTTTTGGATAACAAACAGAAACCTGATCGTAGGTTTCAAAGATATATATATATATATATATATCTTACATTTTTGCTGGTTTATCTTGTTGGCAGAGTCACAGTAATTAAAATCGACAGAAAAAAGTTGGCCATGACCTGGTGCATGTGGCTCCAGAAGGATGGAGAGGACAACAAAGAAAAGGTTCAAAATGGCTGTTCAATGATGTTAAGTGACAAAATGCCAACAAATATCAGCAATCTGGCCAATTCATGAACTTGTGCTTTCTAGCTAGTTCTAGCTGATCGCACTCAGGTGTGTACACTGTAGAACACAGTGAAATCATGGCCCAGTTCCGCTATTATATCATTACTCAATAATAAGAGTTATAGCTCTGATCTCTATCTTTTAACTACTGCACAATCCAGAAACGTGGAACTAGTTCAAGGTAACAAAAAGGAACTAAGATCTCCGGCTTATATACGGTAAACGGTCAAAGCTTCTTCTTCTTCTTCTTCTTCTTCTTTTTTTGCCCCCGGAAAAGAGTATCAGAAAATGAGGAAGATTTTTTCTTGTGATTTTATTACCATCCCACTGAATTGCATGGGTGCTTAGTGGGCCATGATTTTTTGCCATGACATCTCATTTACCTAAAAGAAAAAGGTAAAAAAAATTCATTGTACCAGGACAAATAATAATAGGCGAGGAAAACTAGGATTTGAAGCTTGTTGTGGGATATTAAAAATATAATGAAGTAATAGAGAGCAGAAAAGAAGAGGGGAATAATTGAGCAGCATGAGAGAGAGGCCATGCATGGTGGCCTAGTCAGAGGGATTTCAAGAACCCATAATCAGTGGCTACTATAGTATTATAAGGAAGGTGTCAAAACGGATGGACCAAAACCTAAAATCTTGCGTGGGGACACTTTGGTTCCCCAACCACACCAGAATCTGCCACCTTCAATGGTTCATAGTGCTTCCAAAAATTCCACCCCTTCAACTCACCTATCATCTTAAACCTCCCAACTCTCCCATTAATTCTTACTTTTTCTATTTTCTCTATTATTTTTTTCTCAGCTCTCAGTGCCTTTCTCTAAAGCACCTCCTTCCATCGCTTTTCCTGCAAATTCCTCAACCTGTAGTCGATTTAAATGTTCCACTTCTCCCTTTGACTTCCATCGCCTCCCCTCTCTATTTAACCCACTATCGTTTTTCGTTCACGCACTATCACACTCCTTGCCTTGGCTTCTCTCTTCTTGACATATATATACGCGTGTGTCCGCCAGACACTTCCATTATAGTTGAGCTAGCAAAACCAAACACATAAACTCTCTTTCTCTTAATTAGACATGGCTAGCAATCATCACCATCAGTTTCAGAAGAATGGCATGTATATAGAAACTCCAGAAGCGTTTGGCGATGGAGGCAAGAACTTCGATGACGACGGACGAGTCAAAAGAACCGGTAGTTTTGCTGGAAAAATAAGAATATACGTATTATTCAATTATGCCAGTATTTGAGCAGAATTGTCTCACTTAAATTTTGAATTTGTTTGTGAAGGGACGTGGGTGACTGCGAGTGCCCACATCATAACGGCGGTGATAGGCTCCGGTGTGCTATCACTAGCTTGGGCAATAGCTCAAATGGGATGGGTGGCTGGGCCTGCCGTCCTCTTTGCCTTCTCTTTCATCACCTACTTTACTTCCACTCTTCTCGCTGATTGTTACCGTTCACCTGACCCCGTCCACGGCAAAAGAAACTACACTTATTCCATGGTTGTCAGATCCGTCCTAGGTACTTTAATTTATGTCTAACATGGTTTCTTGAGTTCCAAGACAGGCATATATCCTGTATATCTCTTCACAGAAGGGAGGCTATCTCAACTTGTACTTGTAGTCACATTTATGGGATTCTAACAAAACTTGCTATTCTTTCTACAGGAGGTAGGAAATTTAAGCTGTGCGGATTAGCTCAGTACGTTAATCTTATAGGCGTGACCATCGGCTACACCATAACTGCGTCAATTAGCATGGTGTAAGAATTCTCGCATAAAGTTTAACTTTAGTAGTATATAGTATTAAGTGACCGTATAAGTAAATTAACATATATTCGCTTTCTCTCTCTGATGTGTGATAATTAACAAAACAGGGCCGTGAAAAGGTCGAATTGTTTTCACAAACACGGGCATCATGAGAAATGTTATATATCAAACAACCCATTTATGATCATGTTTGCGTGCATCCAAATCTTGCTTAGCCAAATACCAAACTTTCACAAGCTCTGGTGGCTCTCCATCGTCGCAGCCGTTATGTCTTTTGCTTATTCTACCATTGGCCTCGGACTCTCCATAGCTAAAGTCTCATCAGGTTAGTGACTGAACAGTGAAATCTCCCCAACTTTTTTGGTTTTTATTCTTTTTATTTTTTCCGTATACTGGAATCCCTAAAAGGTGGTAAATGGTCCTTCGGGCAGAAGTCTAATCTTTATTTGATCCTTATATGCTATGAAAGGTGGGGAACACGTACGGACATCCTTAACAGGAGTGCAAGTTGGAGTGGACGTGACGGGATCGGAGAAGGTTTGGAGGACGTTCCAAGCCATCGGAGACATTGCCTTCGCTTATGCTTTTTCTAATGTTCTTATCGAAATCCAGGCAAGTTCACGTTTCTTCTTACCATCGTCCTCGTAGCATTATTGTTATCTGCTAGTTAATATATTCCTCCGGTTACTTAATATATAACCAATTTAACTAATTTGATTAGACTGAAAAGTTAGGTAAGTTAATTAATTATAAGAAATGTGACATGTTTTTCCTAAAACACCATAATCATCTTTCTTAATACCCAATCTTCTTCTTATACTTAATTATGGTTGAAAGAGTATCCATATGGATACTTTAAAGAAAATTAATAAATGTAATAAATGGGTTTTATATTTAGAATTAAAACCAACTCAATAATTAAGTTCTATATTTAGGACTGAAGGAGTACCACTTTGCCTAGGGTGGCCATGCATGCATGTAACATCATCTCTATTATTTGCGTGATCGAGTAGGTAGCAGATACAGAACAATTAAGTACATTACTTAGGGTTATACATACATACTGAGGTAAGAAGTCATTAATTATATATAATTCATTCGTGAATAAAGGAAGGAATCTCTTTGCTTTACGATAATATAATAATATCACTGGCACATGATCATTCGTATAAGTGCGTGTGAATTGGTGTAATTTATATAAAAACTTGCTTAATAAGTATTATGTATTTATATGTAAGTGAAATTATATATCTGTATATATAATCGATCGACATGATTCTGATACAATAAATTTAATGAAACTAATTATAAATTATTTTTTAATGATATATTAGCCATACCCACACTTTATTATTGCCTGAAATTCAGCTGTGATGACTCATAACTGGGGGTTTACTATAAGTGGCTTTAATTAATACTCAACACCTGTTATATTGGTATTGAGTTAGGTATGGCGCATTTCGTCTCGATATAATATGGTCTATGTGGTTTCTTTAAGATCATGATTGAGAGCTAATCCATATTAAACATGAGGGACTACTACTTGTAGTGAGTGGCCAAGTCGCCGACTGGAATTGATACACAGTGGGCCTCTGATTATTGCCAATGAACCAAAACTGTAGATTTGCTGCTTCCTGAGCACTGTCATGAAAACGACTGAGAAGACGTGGAGCTTTGCATAAATCGCCCACTAAAATGGTTATTGCCATTCAAAAGAAGTGGCTCTGATTGATGGTTTAATCACTGGAACTGACCATTTATATATATATATATATATATATATATATCGAATTAATTCCCCTGCAAACTGGAAAGATATTGTTTAGAAATCTGGTGATCTTTTTTCTTTTTTACTAGCTTATTTTCCTCCGCATCAGGATGGGTTGAGTTGGTGCTTATCAGAAAGTTTAGATGTTCTTAGTCTTGTTTTATTCTACTTTTCATCAGAAAGTGGAGGGATAAAAAATTACAGATTAAACCTTTGCATCTAGTCCATGGTCTATGCTAGAAAAGATGCTAAAAGAATCTATTTCCATCAGTCACACAGTCCACACACAATGATGTTGCCATACACCCACTTAGCTATAGCTGCTTAAGATTCTCTGCATATATACAAATGGACCATCAAATCGATGGACCACTATCTTTCCAATGCTACTTTTTATGACAAATAATATAGTTTTGTTTTACAAAACAGTAGAATCCTACCTAATCTCACTCAGTTCCCCAAACACCTCTGTCCATCATTCTTTTGGCTTCATCTCAATCATCTGCCATGACCAACTTCTCTCCGGTATACTGTTCCCTTACTTGTAGGTAATATAATGCAGCCGGTAAATGCAAAATAAATTCAAGTTTGCGAAACACGGACACGAAACTGTCTGATGAAATGGATACAGGTATATAGTGTTCTGTACTACTGTGTCAAAGATAATACTTAAACTATAAGCACAACCATAAAGACCGGAACTTAATTATTGTTTCAAGCTCATCCACACGGGAGAAACCCACAAAAAACACTAAAATTGTAAAATATAGGTTAAAGCATGCAGTTGCGCCATATCATCATGTGCAACGCATTTAAGCAGTGGCTTTAATTAGAATAATTAATGGCATGTGAAGAGTTATGTAGCTTAGCTTTCAAGCCTAATTATAACGGGGGACCATTTGATTTGACTGCACCAGGATACACTGAAACAAAGCCCCCCAGAGAACAAAATGATGAAGAGAGCAAGTTCGATCGGCATCTTCACCACAACCATATTCTACGTGCTATGTGGCTGCATAGGTTACGCAGCATTTGGAAATGACGCGCCTGGAAATTTCCTCACTGGCTTCGGCTTCTACGAGCCCTTCTGGCTCATTGACTTCGCCAACGTCTGCATCGCCATCCACTTGATCGGAGCATACCAGGTCCACCAAGATCCCCAACATTTAATATATATATATATATATGTATATAATTAATTACAAGCAGCGTTACAATAGATTATATTATATTGACCAAACTTGTTGATGAACATGCAGGTATTCTGCCAGCCCATATTTGGGTTCGTGGAGAACTGGAGCAAGGAAAGATGGAGCGAGAGCAAATTCATAAACCACGAGCATGCTTTGAACATTCCTGTGTGCGGGACGTATAACTTGAACTGGTTCAGATTGGTGTGGAGGAGTGCTTATGTGGTGGTGACGGCAGTGATAGCGATGATATTCCCATTCTTCAATGACTTCTTGGGACTCATTGGTTCGCTCTCGTTCTGGCCATTAACGGTTTACTTCCCCGTTGAGATGTACATTAAGCAGTCGAACATGCGAAGATTCTCCTTCACGTGGACATGGCTCAAGATACTAAGCTGGGCCTGTTTGATCGTTTCCATTATCTCTGCCGCCGGCTCCATCCAAGGCCTAGCTCAAGATCTCAAGAAGTACCAGCCCTTCAAACCTCAACAATGATCATATATATGCATGCATATATATGCTCAAATTCAGATTCAAGTGCTATATATATATATATATATAAATATGTTTGCATGTTTGTTTATAGCTTTCTGTTCTGTCAGTTCTTAATTATAATAATAAATAGCTGGGTATATATAGTCCGGCGGGGATAATTTAATGTTATTAAATGTTCCTATGAATGTAACACCTAGCTGCAGCATATATTCAAGTAAGAAATTTCTTAGATGCTTTGAAAGCAAATGAAGCAATATATAGTAACTGCTATGTCTCCAGCATACTCATCACTGCAACTACAAGATTATTATCCACGGCAACACATAAATATGGTGTTACTTTCTATCCTAATTATAAGACCCTATTTATAGATTAGGGCGGGAGGCAGTATATGAAAGATGCATGCATGTGAGCGTCTAAATCAGAATATCATACTCCACTTTCTAGTGGCACGCGTAGAGACACCCGAATGCTGCCCACCCAATATGAATATGTGTGTGTGTGTGTGTGTGGTGTCGATATGACCATTGTCATAGAAAATGTCAAGTATTATTCTGCACTTTCCTCTCCTTTAATGAACATCACACTGATTAAAACGACTGGGAAATAAATTCAAGGTGCGAGAAATTCAAAATAATCATCGTACAACTTGACATAAAACATGGCAAATAGTGTTAGAACCAACAAAACCTTAAATTAATTAAAGAAATGTCTGCCGTTCGTTGATGAGAAGAGACATTCCAAAACCTTGTTATAATATATTACATGTTAAGGAAAAGCATTGTTAGTGGGGTGTTGATAACTTTAATTCGGGCTTGCGTGGAAAGGCTTATTCCAGAGGTGAACGTTAAAATTAATGAAGAATAATATAACAAGTTCCGTGGTGTTAGGAAAGTGGAGTTGAAATTATTGGAATTGGAATATTAAAAATAAAGAGTGGCGACTTTGGGGCAGTGATGTCCACTAAAATCTAATCAATAACCTCCCAATTCCCATCCGTATTGCACGTTCCTCATTGGTTCTCGCATTCCATTTGTACGCCTCAAGGTTGGAAATTTGTTCCCCGCTACATCCCCACTCTTTCTTTTACTTCTACAGTGGTATAGGCGTGCTTCTCTTCTTCATTATTAAATTTGAGCATATATTAGAAAAAAAATATTTACACACACACACAGAGCTTACTCAATCATATGATGGTTCGATTGAGTGAGCCAGGAAAAAACTTGAACGCGTGCCGCCCATTTTCACAAATTAGTTGAAGCTTCGCCGAATCTCCACCTGGAAATGAACGCAACAAAATGCAAAATGGGCATGTGTGTTTGGAATTGCGATCTCGAAATGGTGCATGAATTTCAAAAGTCATATCATATGGAAAGCAACAAGTTATTATTTTAGGACAAATGTCTTTCTGGAACTGCACCAAAAGAGCATCCACTTAACTTGGTTGATTGAGACTGTGGGTGAACTAAATGAGTGGGTCATTTTGTCCTGCATAATTTTTTTTGTCACAGTTATCCACCTAATCGAAACAATCTTGTTTTAGACATTGTTGGATACTAATATTAGTATTTAGTTCATCACATTGTGAGTGATTAGTTCTCTTTGTTACACTCAACCTGTTTATTATATGAAATTTAAAATTAAATGCTGGCTGTGGTTTTTATATTTTATGATGCTTAAATATTTGACAGGATATTCTGATTGGACTGGGCCATAGTCCGTCGGCTTCATGGACTCATTCTCCCTTCGTCAAGCTGCACGAGCTTCTCAGTTTTGGAAATGGAAATACGTGAATCTAAAACGCGTCTGGATTGCATCCGATACGTGGCCCCGACCCGACACAGTTTCAGATCGTGTGAGAAAAGGTCGTATAATATTTAAAATAAAATTGACTCAGCATAATGAAAATTGTAAGTAATACTAAAATTAAAAAAAAATCTAATAATATTTATGAAGAGAAAACAAAGCCCCTCCGTTTTGAAAGTGATATTTGTAGCAAGAAGATAAGAAATCAGATATAAATGCATTATTATAAAAATGTCTATAGTGTATGGTCGTGGCTGTAAATTAATTTCCTAACTAATATTGTCTTTCCTCTAGAGAAGATTGATTGCATTTCATTTTATTTTTAACTCTTCGCTATCTGTTCATGCAATATAAAACGTTATCAAATGTTAAGGGAGCAGAAAGATACTGTGTCAAGGAAATTGTAACGACATGGAAGTTTTTAACTTCTGCGAATTGTCATGGACGCCCTGATAGCAGGTGACAATTTTCTCTTCCATACACGGTTCTAAAATAAAATTAATTTAAGCATTCCCTATAAATGTTACTCTATACTAAATATAGTTATAAAACCCCATTCCCACTCCCAATCCATTGAAATTCAAACCTACATATCAAACATAGCCTCAATTCCTACTGTGGGGGGAAATACTACTTATTTTCCAATCACAATTAAATGCTTACTAGAATTTTTATATTTATAATGCTTAATTTGATATAAGAATTAAAATCTGGGAGAATAGAACAGAGAACCTATAGAGAGAAATATTTAGTAAAAGATACCATGAAAAGCAGAATTATTTAAAAGGACCAGATGTTAAAATATAATTTTAGAAAGACTAAATTGCTCATAACTAATTCTCCTAGATTTTCTCATAGGATCTCAATTACTCCTTTGGTTCTTAATACAAGACCTAATTGTTAAATTGATTTTAGTCCTAAATATAAGACCCATTTCTCATATTTATCAATTTTCTCTAAATTATCCTTATAGATATTTCCTCAATTATAATCAAGTAGAAGAGGAAGAAGGGGTATTAAGAAAGATGATTATGATATTTTAGGAAAAATGTGTCACGTTTTTTATAATTAACTAACTTACCTAATTTTTTTAATCTAATTAAATTAGTTAAATAGGTCTTATATAAATATCAGAGGAGTATTTGACAACTAGTGAATTTCTCATTTTCTATTAGCCTGCACCTTACTTCACAGTTGCTTGTCAAAGTGGCGACAGGGACGGCTCACAAATTATTTGATTCATTTACCATTTTTTCTTTGTAAATCTGCAATCATATTTTGACATCAGATACCCCCGAGATAGGCAACCAAGAACTGATCCTTCTCAATCTGCAAATTTAAACATGATATAGTTCAATTCACTTGGTCACAAAACTCCGTAATTTGTTTGACAAAAATACTACTCGCTAGCTTTTTTTAATTTTTAAAACCATTCCTCTAATCTCAACAGTGGTAGAAGCATGGCAACTCTTGAATGGAGCTTCAGTAAAAGTTCGTTCCTCCACCAGTGGTTGCTGTATCTGGATAATCATTAGCCATGTCTAACCTATGGATTTTCGGATCTTTTTGAACTGTTCAGGCAACGTGCAGAAACTTCAACTTCAAGATTATAGCTGATATAAGCGGAAAAATGACAGATAGACTCAGATTCACGAGGAGACAGAAAACGCAACCAACAAAAATAATTCTGTTGTGAGTTGTTCCTGTTGTTGCAGGGCATGCATCCCAGTGTGCATCTCGCTCGATTTATGGCATTCTTTTAATTCTTGAATGAAAACAAGGGCAAAAGAATTACAGGGGAAACGAAAGAAGTAGACAGGGGTAATTTGATATTTTAAAATCCATATTTTAATATTTGGTTCTTTTAAGTAATTTTAGTTTTTATAATCTAAAATAAAGAGGACCCGAGTCCGAACGACGGCGTTTCGTCGAGTCACATTGTTTTAGGGGAAAATCCCCCATGGTCGTTTAGACGACATCGTTTCCAACAGACAGCTGTCTTCTCGAGAGATTGCTGTGGCGGAAGCCGGGAGCAATTCAATTCTCAAGCGGAGGTTGGATAACACACACTCAGGCAGGTAGCGTTAGCACGGAAAAATGAAGCCGTTGGGATGGTGGCTGATGCTGGTTGGCACGCTCCGATTAGCCTCCGTCTGGTTCGGTTTCTTTGACATTTGGGCCCTTCGACTTGCCGTCTTCTCTAACACAGATAGTAACTCCTATCTCCTCTTCTTGTACTCTCTCTCGATCTTCTTCCATTCCTACAATACCGCATATTTTCAAGCTCATATTATTGGAAACCTCTTAGATTCACAATAGATTTTTGGAGGACAGCCTGTTTAGCTTTCAAGGACAATCACTTTCATTGATGAAGTCATCTCCACATGCTGCTCTCGAGGGTGTGAACAGTAGACGGCCTGTTCTTAGGTAGCCGAGGATAGTTAGCTGCTTCAGCGGCTGTAATGGTTGTGTGTATATTCAGATCTCAGAGTCTTTGTATACTGAGTCAAATAAGTAAAAACTTCGGGGAGGTCCATTGTATTAGATCTGCTAGATCCCTATACTAAAATTATTCTCTTCTGAAAATTTATTTATATGCACAATGCAAACTTACTGAACCAACTTTTCCTTTTACAAGCAAACAGGGCGTTTCCAGATTTTCAAGAAAGCTTTTTAGAGTGAAAATTTCCAACTCTGACAGTGTATTTGCAAAGCTTTTGTTATCAACTTTATTTAAAATTAGTTTTTCCTCTGTTCCATTTCTTCACACCATTTTTTTTTTCCAACTGATAACTGCTATTTGTGAGGTCAACTTGATGTAAGCATTGGGAACAAGTTCATTGGTTATCCTTGTCTCTGCTTGCTTAGCTATCAAATCCCCCAGTTTAAACATACTCGGCATACATCCTGTTCTTATGATCTTATTGGTTCCCCTAAGATCAACAAATTGAAGTTTGATATCCTTGCTTAAGATTAAGAAACATACAAGAGTTCATATTAAAACAAAGTAAGTACTTCTCTTTGATCTATCTGGTGTGGTCATTAGGTAATTGCAAGCAAGCCGGCATATTTTTTTATTGGCAAACTTGTTTTAATGCATTGTTCAAGCTATTTGTATTGACTTTGCTTTCAAACATAGTCCTACTAATGTCATGAATTTCAGTGAACCGATAATACTTATTCATTATTGTGTAGTGTCTGAAGTTCATGGACGGACATTTGGAGTTTGGACACTCTTGACCTGCACTCTTTGCTATCTCTGTGCATTCAACCTCGAAAATAAGCCTCTTTATCTGGCTACTTTCTTGTCATTCATCTATGCATTTGGTCATTTCTTGACTGAATACCTGATTTATCACACGATGGCAATTTCAAACCTGACCACCGTCGGCATATTTGCTGGTATGAGCATTTCTTTCCTTGTTTACCACCAAAATGACGTGCATCACATTTC